TCACCTGGGAATGAAGGAGGGAGAGGGAGTGGTGGCCGCAAAAAGGCTGTTGGAAAGCTGATGGTGTCTGCAAAAAAGCTGGTGGGAAGGCCAGATGGAGAGGTGTGGTTTTCCACCAGCCTTTTCACAGCTGCCACCACCTCACATTACATTCAGCAGATGATTTTCTTTTTTTGTAATGCATGCCTTTAAAATTGAGGTGCACATTACATTCAATACACCTTATACTTGAGTAAATATGGCATTTCCTTTTCCAGGAAGTCTTATCTTCTCAAGATGGTCCAAAGTACATCTAGCCATATTGGCTTCAGGTTTTGTTTACTTCTCCAGTGTCATGTTTCAAGTGATTTTATTTTCTTCCTATGAATTTTCACAACCATACATAGAAATTGGAACTGCATGAACAATCCTAACTTTAGTATTCAATTATATATATTTACACTTTAGGATCTTGTTTAGTCCCTTTATAGCTGCCTTCCAAGTCCTACTAGTAGTATTCTGATTTCTTGACTGCAGTCTCCATTCTACTTGTCCACAAGCATCTCTCCTGAAAATAAAAATACTACAATAATACATAACAATACTATATATTAGCTAAGAATAATCCACCTTCGATAGCAAATCCCAGAATTTCACAGAATACAGCCATATTAAGCTGTTCCTATGCTCACTGCATACATCTTATTTCTAATGCAAAAAAAATGAACGAACAATACAATATTTAAAATGAAGGACAATTTTCACCAACATAAACTTACAATATTTTAGTGAGAAGAGTGGGGCTGCTCTTGGTTGATGGGATAGCCAAGTTAATAGGATTGTTGTTTTTGTGTGCCTTTGAGTAGTTTCAGACTTAGGTCTAAGTCTAAAGTTTAGGGTTGGGGGTGGATAATTTACCTTGGAGGGCCGCATCCAGCCCACAGGCCTTAGTTTCGAGAGGCCCTGGTGTAATGCGAAAGGTCCTTTGGTCAATGCCTGAGTATTTGTACCCCTTAGCCATTACTTTTAGAAAATTATAGGTTTGGCTAAAAGTGGAAGGAGTCATGGAGTTCGCTGATGTTATTAAGAGAGCATATACTGGATACATCCATCCCTCACCATAAAATCCAAGCACTTTTCTTTCTGGCTACTTTTGGATTGATATTCCGATGCAAGATAGGTTTAAAAAGGGAATATTGAAGGCAATATATAGTAAAGAGGTTTCAAAGAAATTTGTGATGACAGAATGTCAAATTACCTGCTGAAGATGAGGGGAAACTTCTTCCCTTCTTCCCTATCTCTACTTATGTATCTATGCAAGGGCATGCCATAATCCATCCCAAAAACACTTATGCCACATTTATCGCTCCTGAGTCTAATTACCCACAAACCAATCCAGTAAACATCCTTCACAGCATGGGTCACTCTTTATGCAAAATTATAGGGTTCAGAATATTTACTAATTGAGCAAGCTGATTGGCTGCATATCTGTAAGTGTCTTCTAATATATTTAATTGCAATGTTTTTGCATCTGTGTAGTTTGAGACCCTCTCAAAGTCAGCACTTATTCCCTTTTCACAATTATAAATGTCAGTGACAATAGTAGAGAGGCTTTCCCCATCTCTACTATTGTGAAAGACGTTAAAGATTAATTTTGCTTGGCAGAAGGAACAGAGAGCAAACTGGGCTTTTTGATTGCTTTTACTTCCATTATTTAAAATTATGGGATTCAGAAGATGGTAACAGTGAACATCAGTGATAGTCAAAAAGGCCTCTTGATTTAAAACCTATTTTATTCATTTAGTACATTTATTTCCTGACCTTTCACTGAGATGTTCAGCTGCGGCGGCTTACATGGTTTTCCCCACTCCCCCACTTTTATCATGTTTTCAGTCCCACGAGGTACGGTATATCAGTTGGAGAAATTGTGATTGACCCAAGGTCATCCTATAGGCTTTTTGGTCAACTGGGAATTTGAACTCATGTCTTCACAGTCTTAATCCAAAAGGCGAATCAATGGCTTTCTAGATGTCATTGGACTCTTCCTATTTGGCCCTCCCAACAAAGTCCAATGATTCAAGTTAGGTAGTATGGGAAATATTTGATTTAGCTGATAAGTACACTGGCAAAAAGTGGATGTAGTTTTGTGATCATTGTGCCATCGCGCCTGGGGCTATAACTCTTAGTGAAAGAGGCATGGACGTGACATCTTTCCCCCAGGGGATTGCTTCTTGCCCTCCTTTAGGAAAACTGGAACTCCCAAGGACCAAAAACACTGTAGATAACTCAAAATAGGTTTTCTTGTTCACAGAGAGTTATCCCTCTAAGGCAATAAGCTGGAAGTTTCAAAGGGGTAAAGGAAAATATACATTACAGTCTCTGGTTGTCTTGGGTCCAAGGAGTTTTGCAGCTGAGAAGCTTTTCCAGATCCCTCTTTCTCAATGGCTGTGAATATCAGCATAGTCACAACCCCAATTCCAATGGCCTATATTTTGAAGGCACAAAGCCTTCCTCTGGTGCCAAAGAACTGGTTTAAAGGTGCTTGAGACTTCTCAACATCTTCCAGGTTGATCTGAACATGAAGCATAAGTCTCAAGGGTAAGAACCTCAGAATTGGTGCTGAGAGGTAACTTAATCAAGGGCTTCAGAGCCAAGTCTCTCTCTCATGTCCATCTGATAGAAAGTTTGATGGTGGAATGGAAAAGGAAACACTGTCCTGCCTTCTAGGAAGAGGTGGGGTCAAACAATTGAGCAGGAGGAGCAATTCAACTGGTGCAAACATTAATTGACAGCTATAAAAACCAATCAATCCAACTATCTATTTACAGGGCAAAAAGGCAAAATCAGGCATGATACAACAGTTCAAATCCTGCAACTTACAGTTCTGCATATAGGTGGCGCCACTCGCACCATCACAATCATGGTGATTCATATTCAAAATTCTGGAAATATAGGGCTGTAATTCCACGTTAACTGCCATTGCTACATCCTTTGGTCAGAGGCATCACTGGTTGAGAACTCTGAGTATGCCTCCATAAACTGCAAATCTCAGGATTCCATACAGAGTGAAAGTTAAAATAGAATCATACCGCTTTAATTGTGTAGTGGCTGTGTGTATGTGATAAGTGTATGTGTCCATTCAGTAAGCTTCAGTAATCTATGTATGGGAAAATATTACTTTTTGGATTATACCTCCCCAAACATGCTCTCAGATACACACATCTCAAGTAGCATGGCCTGGTGTGTGTGTGTGATAATGGCATGTTTTAATCTAGGTTTGTTTTTTTTAAAAAAAAAAACTTTTGTGTCTTGTAGATTTGTAATCATGTCTTTTTAAACTTTTGAAAACCACTTTGAGTTCCAATTTAGTAGTAATAGTAGTAACAACAACACCAAAACAACAATAGTATCCTGGCTGTAAGATTCTAGGAGCTGAGTCCAAAAGTGTAATGTTTCCAAGCACTGGTCATCCTGCAAAGTGCAAAAGAGAGTTATGCCATTCATCACCACTCAAGATAGGTATGCATAGAACTTTTGCATCCCCTTAACAATGTTCTACATATGGAACAGAACACAATAATTAAACAAATTGGGAACGCCAAATGCTTAGGAAAATCCTGAATGGTATTCCCATCTTAATCGCCCTGCACAAATATTCTAGTTTACTCCCTTTGTTATTAGAATCTGGATTTTTGTTTTTAAAATGCAAATCGCATATGGTGAGAAGTCTTTTTCCCTGTAAAAACAATGAAAGAAATATTTATTTTAAAGCATTGACCTAAAGTTCTAGTTTTGCCCTTCCAAAATTAACTTGTCAGGAGCATCCTCTGTGGCTGTATTAGTTCCTTCTTCTCTACACTGCAGCATTTTTTTTTTATTTTGGTCAGATGCCAAAGCCTGTCAATTAAGAGTAAGCCTATCCCTTATGAACAGAAGCAGGGACTGTGATCATGTTCAACTAAGATCAAGGATTAGTAAATCAGCATGGCTCCAGATTGCAGACACTATTTAAATCCCATAGGCCTTACAAGCCAACACAGCATATTATGTTCTGGCTGGATGTGGAGAACAGAATCTCCCAGTTACAGGGAGCTTGCTCTTTACCTTTCCAGGGCAGTCAATTACATGACAACTTAAAACGAGCACTGATTTTATCGCAACCATGGCCTGATCGAATGCCAGCAAGCTACCATCAACATCCAACCACTGGCCGTGTAGCTTATCAAGGACTTTCTATCAAATTAAACTTATTTCATTACACCCCCCAATAAATTATAGAAAAGGGGATATATTGTTGTTGTTTTTTTAAAAAAACAATGAAACTTAAATATTGCAGTGGGATCAAAACAAAGGTTTCAATTCCACATTGGATAAAATGTAGTCTTTCACGCCAGATTAAATTAAAGTGTCTCCCCCAAGTTATTGTAGGCAGTCAGCAGGAATCAACTCTCCAAGCCTCTATCTTTTTCTTTCGGAATATATCATCAACAAAGGGAAGTTCATTTAACACACACACGAACATATGTACACACATATGATGGGATACTACATGTGTGCTCAGCTCCCCACATGCAGTTCCATTTCCTTTTACCCTCTGATCTTCTTGATTACACTAGGTGACAAAATTTGGAAAAAAATCCATTCATGGTTTGAAAGTGTTATTCCTATTTAATTGTGTGGTACTTATTTTGAAAGTAGTTATTATACTCCAGTAACTTTGTTTTTGTGGTTGCAACAAACTATATTGAATTGATTGAGACTTGATGAGATATTCATTGAAAAACTATAGCTAAATGTAATGCAGGATGTCTCGCAAAAACAAAGTTTTTGCAGTTTAATAAACTTTCCCCATGGTTTTTTAATGATAGAACCAATTAGGAATGACATTTATAACCCAGGAACAAAAATCATGTTACATAGTGTTATTGGAGAACTTACTGGCTCACTTTGGTCATGGACCTAAGAAATGAAGGTGCACTTTCAAATGACTAACACTCTCCATTTTTCCCCCAGGAGCTCAGGCAAACTCTGTGTCATAAACCCCAACATCTCACAGATGAAAATGACCAAGCAACATCAGCATGTGGTCAAGATGACGCTAGCAACAGGAGAGGACAGACAAGGTAGAAAAAGCTGCAGCAGTTTGCTTTTGCCTAAGCTTGTTGGAAAGAGTAAGGTTTCTTCCATTTCTCTCTCTGCTAAGCTAATATTTTGCACTTTGAACTCACTTTGCAGCAGTTGAACTAAGGACAAAAAGGAAAAATGGAAAGAGAACAGGCATTGAAAATGGAATGAGGGGGAGCATACCATCAGGACTGTCCCTGACAAGTTGGGATAATGGGAGGGTATGTATGTTCTCATGGGCTGGATGGTGATGATGATGACTACTGTTATGTTTATGATGATGATGATGACGATGATGTTTTTTCTTCGTGGTCTCTGCGAATGCACACTTGTGGAGAGACTGCGCCTGCGCGGGCTCCAACGGAAACTTCTTCATTTTAAAACTTTTCAAGTTTTGGCGGTAACCCCGCCCAGCCCCGGCAGGGGATAAAAGGGCGCCCCGCGCACACCGATCCAATTCCTTTTTTTCCGCCGCACGGCTCGCTTCGGTACTTCTATTGTTGGATAGAGATATTGTTGGATAGTGATTCTTGATAGAGTTTCTCTCGTAGAGATTTCCTCGAGTTGTTTGACATTATTATGTCAACAACTCGCTTCAAAAGATGCGCGAATTGTCCGAGGAAGATCCCTGATTCGGACAAGCACGCTCTTTGCCTTTTGTGTCTCGGAGAGGCACACATTACTTCCTCGTGTCGTCATTGTCAATCGTTGACGGCACAGTCCCGTAAGAACCGGGTCCATCGGCTTCGATACCTCCTGTACCAGCAGACGTTGGCTCCGGTACCTTCAACATCGACATCGGCGTCGACGTCAGCTGCGGTATCCAGGCCTTCGACATCAGCTTCGACGTCGAAAGCATCGACATCAAAATCTGTCGATCCCT